TTCTCCCTCTGATCCTCTTCCCTCTCGCGCTCTCTGTCTCTCATTCTCTCTCTCAAATAAATAAATAAAATCTTTAAAAAAAAAAAAAGAAAGAAAAACTCTATTTTAGAGTGAGAACTTAGAAAGTGGAATTGCTGGGTCACAGGGAAGGTCCTTCCTAGAATTGCCAAATTACTCTCCAAAGTGGCTGTTCTAACTCACCCTCTCATCAGCCACTAGGAGTGTGCCCACTGAGCCATGCCCTCACCATCACTTGGCATTGTCAGACTCTTCAATGTGGAATTTAGAATTCCCCCACTCCTACCAAGGCACAAATCACGGGCTATCTGGAACTGGAATGATCTCTCTCCTTTCTTTCTTTCTTTCTTTTTTTTTTTAAAGATTTTATTTATTTATTTGAGAGAGAGAGAGAGAGAAAGCATGAGAGGGGAGAGTGTCAGAGGGAGAAGCAGACTCCCTGCTGAGCCGGGAGCCTGATGCGGGACGCGATCCTGGGACTCCAGGATCATGACCTGAGCTGAAGGCAGTCGCTTAACCAACTGAGCCACCCAGGCACCCAGATCTCTCTCCTTTCTGGCCTCCCCTAGGTAACTGTGAGTCCTTCACTGGAGCAGGCTGTGTCCACTTCACTTTGTCTCCAGGCCAGCTCAGGCACATAGTAAGTGCTTAACAAGTCCGTGTGGATTTTTTTTTTAAGTAAGTTCTACACCCAGTGTGGGGATTGAACTCACGACCCCGAGATCAAGAGTCCCATGCTCTGCCAACTGAGCCAGTCAGGCGCCCCAAGTCTGTGTAGATTTGAACTGTCAAGGAGAAAAAGGGTGGCAAAAGTATATAAATTACATCAAGAGATAAAAGGATACTGTAGGAGCCCCAGCTCAGGGTGTCAGGTGCCTGGGTCCCCTAGGTGGAGGGTAGGGAGCTTCCAGGGATGCTGCTGTAAGCAGTTGAAAAGGAGAAGCAATGGGCCGCGCCTGTCCTGAGTGGCTCGAGCAGGATGCTGTTAAGCTGGGGCCAAGTTCAGACCCAGGAAGGAGGTCACCACCATCCCCAGGGCAAATGGGTGCCTGGTCCAGGCCCCAGTGTCAATGGTGGGGTATCTCCCTGTACCCACCTCCCACGGGAGCCTCTCCTAGAGGGAAAACAGGAGACGGGAAGCTCTGGTCAGAAATCCCAAACTCAGGATTCACAGGGAGCCAGTGATTGCAAGGGCCTCTAGAAGGGGGAGCGGAGCGGGGGGCTACATTGGGGGGAAATTACCTTTTGCCATCTCTTTTCTTTCTCTTTCTTTTTTTTTTTTTTTAAGATTTTATTTATTTATTTGACAGAGACACAGCGAGAGAGGGAACACAAGCAGGAGGAGTGGGAGAGGGAGACGCAGGCTCCCTGTGGAGCAGGGAGCCCGATGCAGGGCTCGATCCCAGGACCCCAGGATCATGACCTGAGCCAAAGGCAGATGCTTAACGACTGAGCCACCCAGGCGCCCCGCCATCTCTTTTCTCAACTTCTGAATTTTGGACTATGTGAATATATAGCCTATAACCCAAAATAAATAAAAATGAAGATGTTCAAAGCGTCACCCCCAAGTTCCAAGAGCCAGCAGGAAGACTTCCAGGAAACCCACCTCCATTCTCTGTCTGACCTGGGCCTGAAGAGGTGAGAGAAGAAAGGGTGGTGGTCTCAGACCCTCTCCCTGGACTCAGAGGGAACACTAGGGAGTGGGGGGACAGGAAGACAATTGGACATAGGAGGGGCTACCAGCTGTGAATCCTAGGCCTCCTTCACCAGTATGCCCCCACCCACACCTTAACTGCTTCCTGGCGACTCATTCCCAGCTCTGCTGTGTGACTTTGCACAGAGTATAGACCTCTCTGGGCCTCTGGTTACTTCTTGTAAACAGAGTTCGCATCCCCTTCCCAGATTTCACTCTTGGCTCTGACTGTTCTTTAACCTTTTCCTGGCCCTCCACGACTGCACTTGGGAGGGGTAGGAATAGCACCCCATGCTAGCTGTGCCATCTTGTGGTTTGAAGCAAATCACAGGAAGTTCTGAAGGGCTTCCTCAGCCCCTCACTCCTGATAGGGCAGCAGGGCCGGGAGGGGTGGAGTCGGGCCAGAAGGGCTGACTCAGTGCAGCAACCACCCAGCTGGGTCACCCGCCGTGGGTGGGGTGCCAGGCCAGGCCCTCTGGGGTTCCCAGAGAATTCCTTCCCCATGCCATAAGCTGCCCCGGGCGGGCACCCCAGCCCACAGTAACCACTTAGCCACCACCAGCGCTGCCACCCCAGGAGCCTTCACTCACACTTGCACTCTCCCCCACACACACCAACATTCACCTCACACACACACACTCAGTCACACGCTCTCCCTCACACACTCACACTCCCCTCACACACCCACACCAACACTCTCCCTCATATACTCATGTACTCTCCCTCACACATGCTCTCTTACACACTCTCCCCTCACACACTTTCCCTCACACTCTCACTCTCACACACACACACACTCACACCAACTCTCTCCTACACATTCACATACTCTACCTCACACACTCTCTCCCTCACACACTCCCACACTCTCCCTCACACATTCACGCTCTCACTCCTACACTCTCATCCACACCCTCACACCCACTCACCCTCTCAGGAAGCCTGAAAGGAAACAATACTTGTTCTGTTTGCCTTCACCCCACCCCCGTGCCCCAGTCATCGATGCCATATCTATTTATTTCAGACATGGCTGACCACCATCACATGCAAGGGACCAAAGAGGAAACGGACTGTAAGAATGTGGCCAGCTAACTTTAACACGCGCTCCTGGGCTGGTGAAGAGAGAGAGAAAAGAATTCCCTCTGGCCACAGAAGGAAGCGTGATTCCTTCTAATTTTGACCTCTTGAGAAAAAAGCACCCTGGTTCTGGAGTCCTGAAACAGGGGGGACCTACCCCAGGTCTTCCCTCCCCCTGTGCCCTGAGGTGTGCAGGCAGGTAAGGTGTGAGCCCTCCGCAGGCACCTTCACAAACGGAAGTGGAAAGCAGATGCCCTGGAGCAGGACCACTGGAGTCCTGGTTCTGGACTGGAGACCACTAGCCAGCTGTACAGAGAAGCTGCCCAGCCCCTCTGGCCCTCCGTGTTCCTGTGTGTAAAATAAGGGTCCAGCCCTGTATTAGTGAGTTCCTGGCAGGAAACTGCCAGCACACCCCCAATGAGGGTCTAAAGAGAGGTTAACAAGTGCGTCCACCCACAGAGGTGCGGGCAGGGTCAAGGGCCCCAGAGAAGGGATGATGGTACAGCGCCCTGGAGCTAATAGCTGCGGAGAGCTGTTACCGCTCCAAGCCTGAAAAGTAGCCAATGGAACAAATCCCCGTCTCTCTCCTCCTGCCCTCCAGTCTTACTAGGGCCTCTCCTTGCTCAGAGGGCAAGGGAGCCAAGTACTTCAGGCCACAGAGGTCAGCTCCCCAGGGCCCAGAGCAAGCTCAGAAGAGTAGACAGTAGACCTGGAAGGGTGAGTGGAGAATGTCTAGCATCAGGAACTACTTTGTAAAACCCTTAATTCAGTCAGCAAATATTCTCTGTAATTGTCTTTATTTGCATAGTCATGAGGGGTATGAATAAAGAGAAGTGCTTGTGGATCCAAAGAAATGACAATCTAATGGTGGATTTTGTTTTATAGGATGACGAAGGAGGGCACACTGATAAGGCAGAAGGTTGTTTTTTTTTTAAAGATTTTATTTATTTATTTCAGAGAGAGAGAATGAGAGAGAGCACATGAGAGGGGGGAGGGGCAGAGGGAGAAGCAGACTCCCTGCCAAGCAGGGAGCCCGATGCGGGACTTGATCCTGGGACTCCAGGATCATGACCTGAGCGCAGAGGGAGAAGCAGACTCCCTGCCAAGCAGGGAGCCCGATGCGGGACTCGATCCTGGGACTCCAGGATCATGACCTGAGCCGAAGGCAGTCGCTTAACCAACTGAGCCACCCAGGCGCCCAAGGCAGAAGGTTTTATCAAGCTCTCCACAAATCATGCCTGAGGCCCCTCCCCAGCTGAAGTTGTTCAGTGCCCATTACACCCACTGGCCAGGAGGAAGAAGTACAGGAGGCTGGACTGAGCTGCCAAACCCCCTGAATTCTGAGTCGGAGTCGGGAATGATGGAGGTTACAATGGAGGCTGACTACAGTTCCCAGTCACTCTGGGAGGTCACCCCATCCTTCTATCCAGGTCAGCATGTTGGAGCCCCCAAGCTCCAGGGGCAGGCCTCTGGCAATTCTGCCTCTTTCCAGATTTGGGGAAAGGGCCTTGCACCATGAGGGGAAGCTGCCCAGGCCTCTGCACTTCACCTGCCAACAAGGGAGGCCGGTTAGAAGGAGAGGGGACATCATCCCAGTGGTCCTCTTGGGAAAGGGCACAGGAATGGAAAACCTCCCTGGGGCCAGGGCCTTTGTCTGGCAGGAGACCAAGATGATGATGTCAAGTCCACCTGGGCTGGGTCCTGGCCTCCAGCCATGCCCCGCACCCACCTTGGCAGGACTGAGGCCCTGTGAGCCGGCCCTTTCCTGGGCTGCCTGGCCAAAGCTGGGAATGGCTAAAATATAGGGGTCCCCACCAAACAGGACCTGCTCCTATGCCGGCTTTGCCAGCCTCTGTTTCTGGATCATTCAGAAGGAAGAGGTCCGGCAGCAAGGGGTGTGCCATGCCCTTCTGAGGGGGCAGGGAAGGGTCACAGCTGAGGCACTCTGGAGAGGAGAGGGAGAGAAAAGGCCTGCTGTTTGCCCAGGAGCCAACAGACACTAGGGCCCTTGTCCTGGGGCAGTGGGGGAGGCTGCGGCCAGATGGAGATGGGGGGGCACGCCAGGGAGGGACTCCCGGGCTGAGCAATCAGCCTCTTCCTCCCACACCCCCACCGAGCTCCTGGGGCTCTCTTCCTCTCCAGCCCAAGACAAAGAGGGGAGCCTTACTGAGGCCTGGTGAAGCCTAGTCCCCAATCCCACCCCGACATCAGAAGCTCTGGAGGCAATCCCAGGGTACTCAGAAACACCCCCAAGTTGTTGAGCAAAGTGCTGCCTTCCTGAGGCCCCAGTGCCGTAAAGCCCTCTGGGTCTGGGCTGTCAAAGCTGGACAGGCTTTTCTCTGGAAGGGGCCCTCCTAGTCTGCAGTGAACAAACCCAGCCTCAGACCTTCAGGCCATTCTGGTGAGGAGGGCCGCGTTCAGCCATTTGACAGATACCTGTTGAGTCTGTGCTGTGTGCTGGCCACTCTGCAGGGGCAGCAGGATGAGAGCTCCCCGAGGGCCTCAGCCTCCCGGTGGCCAGGCCACCCAGCTCCTGCCCAGCCCCTGACCCAGAGCAGACCTTTGACAAACATGGGTTGGGCCAAGCTGGACCTTAGCAGCTCCTTCTTTGGTGGGCCCTGCCATCATTCTCTGCCCTCTTTCTCAACTTAGCCACACCCAGGAGCGGCCCCCAGCACATCAGCCAGCGCTCAGTATTGTCCGGGGTTCGCCGGGCGGGGGGTGGCGGGGAGAGGGGGGACTAAGGGGAAGGCCCTCCAAGCCCTTGGAGCAGGAGCCCGGAAGGGGAAACTATTAATGACCGGCCACTGCCAACATCTGTCGCCCACCCCTAGGTGGTGCTGTGGCTGCATTAGCGCCCTCAGTCTGGCCTCATCCCCGCCCCATTTTACAGAGGAGAAAACTGAGGCTCGCATGGCAGAGGGGACTTGAGAGCAATCAAATAGCTACTGGATCATTCCCATGCTACGGACGGAGTGGAACTCAGCGATCTAACAGGGTGGTGAAGATTGTGCAGGTAGTACAGTGTCCCCAGTTTTGCAGATAAGGAAAGCTCAGAGAGGTGAAGAAACTTGTTCAGTGCCACACAGCTAATAAATGACAGAGCTAGGACCCAAACTCAGGCCTGCCTAACCCCCAGAGCCTGCTGGCTTAACCTTCCCTCTGCAGAAGGGTCGCAGACAGGGAATCTGGGAGGGGAATGTGTTCACCCACGAGTTATGCCCACCAGAGGGCAGTTCCTTTGCCTTCCCAGAACCTGCCTAGAACTCCTCTGTCAGTGGTGGCTGGGAGGAGCCTCTTGCCATCGGGACAGGGCCTGTGCCTCCAGCTCCATCTAGATCTTTCCTCTGACTTCAACTTCAGTGGGCCTGGCCTGGCTCCCTCCATCCTGAGCCAGGTAGGCCTCCACGTCCAGGATGGGCTCTCTCTGGGTACCACAGTCTGTGGGCCACAAGCAGGCTGCCCCTGCCCTGATTCCTGCAGACTCCAGCGCCAACCACCATGATCCATTAGCTCTCCCTTGGTCCCTACAGACAAAATGCACAGCAGGAGGAAAAGAAGTTAGACAGCAGGGAGAACTTCCAGGTTGTCGGGATGGAAGATGCTGGGATGGGATGACAGAGGTTGTGGAGATCTTTAAGAGAGGAATATGCCAGGCCGTTCGAGTCAAAATCCAAATTCAGGGGTTCCAAACTAATTAGCTTCCTTTGGCTTCTCCAGCTCCCTCCCCTCGGGGCCTGACTGCTGGGAGTGGGAGCTGGAAGGCTGCCTCCAGAACCTGTTCAGACCTCCAACCAGGACACACCCAGCAGCTCACACTGTTCCCATTCAGAGCCAAGAAGAATAGCATTTCCTGAACCTTACTCCAGTCCTTCCACGTCTCTATCAACGCACCGAACCTTCAAACGGCCCTATGGCAGGGGTACTGCTATTATGTCCACCGAAAGGTGAGGAAGCGAAGACCCAAGGCCTTTTCCAGGACTCTCCATCTTCCCAATGTATATTCATCCTTCGGGGCTCAGCTTCAGTGTCCCCTCACCCCAGCAGGGCACACCGAGGACCTCTGCTCTCTGCGGGGCAGTCAGTGCACAGGGACCTCCGCCAGGCTCTCCAAGGCAACCTGCCACTTCCTAGCTCTTCCTCTTGAATAAACAACTTCCCTAAACCCCACTTCCCTTATCTGTCAGATGGGGATAATGACCTACCAGCCAAAGGGGATGGTGCCGAGTATTCAACGAGATGACAGACATCTCTGATGCACCCTCCCCACGCCAGTCAGTAGTTCTAGCACTGACTTACATCCAAGGCCCCAGCTTCCTGCAGCTCTGAGCTCTGGTGACGGGCTCTCTTATCTTCATCCAGCTCCAGCCTTGTTTGGCCAACAGACTGGGGATCAGGAGGCTGGGCCTCGGAGACATGGAGCGCCAGGGCCTGAGGGCAGGGCCTGGCTGAGGACCAACACAGGCACAGAGGTGGGCACCAGGGGCGCCCGGGCCCTGGCCATACAGGGACCAGGCTGGAGGTGCCACCCAGCAGCTTATTTGTTGGGGGCTTACCCATCAGGGTAAGCCAAGCAGTACCTATTTACCCTCAGGGGCCAGAGGGAGGGTGGGCATCTTGTCCCAGCCTCCCCCCTGCATTCCGAGAGCCCAGGAAGCCACCTCCTGGCTTTGGGTCTAGTGGAGGAGGGGTTCAGTCTGGGAGACAAGGTGGGAAGGGGACCAAGAGAAGGATCAGGAACAGTTTGGGGGTAGCATTTGGATAACTATTGCTGCATAACAAATTATCCAAAACTGAGTAGTGTGAAACCACCACCATTTTATTTTGCTCAGAGTTTTAGGAGTCGGGAATTTGGGAAGGGCCTGCTAGGCAGCTCTCACCTGGGGTCCCATATGAGTGCTGTCAGATGTCACCTGGGGCTGGAGGCATCTGAAAGGCTTGACAGGCTGGACGCCCAAGATAGCTCCTCCCATGGCTGGGAGCTCAGCTGAGGCTGTTTCGTGAGACCACCTCCATGTGGCCTCTCCAGCTTGGCAATCTTAGGGTGGTCTGACTTCTCACATGGGGGCTGGCTTAACCCAGAGCAACTGTCCTAAGAGAAGCAAGAGGAAGCTATGTGGCCTTTTATAACTTAGCTTCCACAGTCTGAAAGCATCACTTCCACTGTATTTTACTGATGGAAGCAGCCACGGCCCTCCCAGATTCAAGGTGAGAAGGACAGAGATCCCACCCCTCCCTGGAAAGAGTGCCAAAGGATATTGGGACCATGCTTTAGAACTACCACAGGTAACATCGAGGAACAGGTCTCTCCCCGTGCTAACTGGGACCTCACAGGTTATAGGCCCGAGGGATACCAAGAGACCTTAAGCCAGCACCCATCCTACAGATTTGAAGACAGGGGCCCTGAGGGTGCAGAGCTTGGCTCTCAGCACCTGCCCCTGCCCCATCCTGCCTGTCCATGACAGTGAAGACCGAGGAGTCCTCAGGCCCTGAGGCCCAGGGCCAGTCAGCGACTTGGAGAGGTATGTGGGGGGCTGCGTATGCCAAAGGGGAAATCGAGTGTGTGCATGCGTGTGTACAAGCACTGGCGTGTGTGGATGAACAGGGGAGGGTTACTCCACCCCCTAGAAGATCCCGTGCCCCGTTAGCACACTCCCCTCTTGTAGGACACAGATTTTGCAGCGCAGTGGGAAAGTTGAGGCAGGGCCGTGGGGAGGATAGGGTTTCAGGAGGAAGGGGCTGAGTCAAGAGTGTGTGCTGAGCCAGAAAAAGGCCTATGGGTGTTGGAGGGGCTAGGACCCTGGGCCTGGGGTCTCGGGGTTCAGGGGTCCCAAGAAGCAACATCACCAGAATTAGCAACAGCTAATCAACAGAAACCGTTGACAGTTCCCTGGCAGCACAGGGAAACACCTGCGGGGTGGGGGGGTGGAGACTTGAGGGGTCAGGGAGGCCTGCAGAAACGCAGGGTCCTCGGTCCCCGCCCTGAGGCCAAGAGGTGAGACACCTCTTCAGCACCCCGCCTGTCCCTGCTGTCCCTGCAGCTGCCCTAGGCCTCCAGCCCAACCTCACAGCTCAGTAGCCACGGCAAGGCAGGCGAGGCGGGCCAGTGTCCCAGTGCGTGGCAGCCTTCACCCAGCCTCCCTCATCCCCTCCAGGGGCAGGGACCCGTTCCCAGCCATATTCCGGACAGGCTCTCAGTAGAGCTTTGTTGAATGAATTAGGAGTGGGTGCGGGCTGGAGTGGGTGGTGAGCTGGGGTCAGCCCTGGCCCTGGCCCCCTGCTCCTCTGCTCAGCCTCCAGGGCCCCCTGCCCTCTCCAGGCCCACCCAGGCCCTCAGGCACTTCCTGAGCAGCAGGACATGTCCTGCCCTGCGTGCCCCTGGAAGGAGGTAGCTTATCAGAGGGGAAAGGACACTTTGTTCAGGCCTGGCCATCTGCCTGGGCTGGGGCTGCCCTGCTCAGGGCCTGGCAGGCAGAGCAGGCTGCTGCCTGCAGGAAGATCCCAGAGAGCAGGTCAGGATGGAAGGCCTGGGGAGTGCAGATGAGCAAGGCTCTGTGTCCTGGGCCATGCCAGGACCTCCGGCCCTCTCAGAGGTCTACTCGGACCCTCGGTTCCCCTCCACCATTCTACTGTCTCTCCATTCGTCTCCTACCTCTCTGACACCTGATGGGTTTTTCAGTCACTCACTCCATTCATTCATTTAAGCAATATTTAAGGAACACTTGGAATGTGCTATAAGGTTCTAGGCCCTGGGTGGGGACACAGCAGCAAGCAAAACAGGCAACAGTGCCTGCCCTCATGAAGCTTAAGTTCCAGTGGAGAGACAATAAACACATAAAAAATGAAACAGGGGGCACCTGGGTGGCTCAGTCGGTTAAGCTCAGGTCATGATCACATCAGGCTCCCTGCTCAGCAGGGAGTCTGCTCCTCCCTCTTCCTCTCCCTCCGCCCCTTTCCCGGCTTGTGCTCTCTCTCGCTCACTCTCTCACTCACTCTCTCGCTCAAATAAATAAAATCTTTTTAAAAAAATGAAATAGGTGCTATGTTAGATGATGAAAGTGCTCTGAAGAAAATAAAGCAGGGCAGGGGCACAGGGATAGAGCCATCTGCAGGGGATGAAGGAGAATAGATGCTTTTTTTTCCCCCCAACATATACAGTGGTTAAGAAACATCCCCTGAGAAGGTGACAGCTAAGCAAAGACCTCAAGGATGTAAGGAAGTGAATCACATAAATTCCTAGAGGCAGAGCCTCTAAGGCAGAGGGAACAGCAAGTGCAAAGGCCCTGAGGCAAGAGTGGGCGAAGTGTGTGCAAGGAACAGCAAAGAGGCTAGTGAGGCCAGAGCACACACAGCAAGAAGGAGGGCAGGGGATGGGGTCAAAGATGGAGAGGCAACTGGATAAGGAGGGGCCTCGTCAGCCCTTGGAAGGACTTTGGCCCACATTTAGGTGATGGGGAACCAGTGCAGGGCTCTGAACAGAGGATTTATGCTTTAAAAAATAACAGTAGCTCATGTTACATAGTGTTTAATATGTATCAGCCACTTTTCTAAACACCAAACATGTATTAACCCGTTTAATCCTCCTAATAACCTTTATCAAAGATGATGAAACTGAGCTAGAGAGGTCTCTAAGTACTAGATGTTAGTAGCAACCTCCCCTAACTTGTGACAAACCAAAAATATCTCAGACATTGCCAAATGGCTCCTGGCAGACAGAATAGTCCCCAGTTGAGAAAGACTACCCAAGGGTCCTCCTGTCCACCCCATCTGCCACTGTCCCAGCTCAGGCCCACAACCCTCTCACTATGACAGTTGTGACAGCCTCCTAATTGACCAATCGGGCCCCTGTCCTCTCCACTCCACCCTCCAGGGTACACCTTACCTCGTCACTCTCCTAGCTTTTAGCCCACCCTCTATGGCTCCCAGGGCCCTGAGAATAAACACCAAGCCATTTAGGATGGTCTGAGTGGTCTTATACAATCTGGCCCCTGCCTATTTCTCCAGCAATATCCTTGCCCGCCCCCCCAAGTCTAGCATGTGTTGAGCCTACTATGTGGCAGCCACCACGGGGGACACAGCTGACAGGCAGACCAATCCCCCCCAGGGCCTGTCTTCACCGTGTAAGGGTCCAGGGCAGGGGAGAGCAGGTGAACTCGCAGATCCTGTTCATCCGGAGCCAGGGAGATGTGAGCGCTCCAGGAGGATAGGGGCTGGAGCTGAGAGATGTACAGGTTGGGCAGGAGTTATCCAGGGGGAGCAGGGAAGACCTGCAGTGGTGGGGCAGCGTCTTTGAGAGGCCCGGGAAGCTGTGGCTCTGATTTGCGGCCCCAGGAAAAGCACGTGTGAAGAGGGATGGAGGGCAGGGAGCAAAGGGCTACACATGAACAGGTGGACTGAGCAGGAGGCCCAGGAGAGGAGTCCAGGGTGGTTCAGTGAGCTGGACCGTGAGGTTGCGGCGCCGACTGGACACTGTCCCATCACCACGGGGCTCTCCTGGCAGGCAGGCCCGCCCCCCCTTACTTCATCTGTCGAACTCCCCCTCCCCCTGCAAGCCCAAATCACAAATGGTGCCTCCTCCTTGAAGCCTTCTGGATTCCTCCCTGCTGGAATGACTGGCTTGGTCCAGTCCCGTGTGTTTCCAAACCAGTTTGGCGGGAACATCATCATCTGCTTTCATTGCAGGGGTCTGCTGTTACCCGACACCCCGACCGTGAATTTCCTGTGGGCAGGGAGGTGTCTTTTACCTTCCCTGTGCTCACAAACTAAATCAGAGCGCCTCCAGCAGACGTAGCGCCGACGGGCCTCGAGGCCTCAGGGAGCGGAAAGGGCCTGCGTCCGGGCGGCTCCCCTGCTCGCCAGGTGCGCCGCCGCAGGGTCTGGGGGTAGAGGCAGGGGGGTCGCGGCCAGGCCGCATTTGCCTCCCCTCGGTGCGCACACGCCCGGCCGGCGGCAGCTGCCTCCTCCCGCCCTCGCGCTGCAGTCGCCCACGCGAGCCCCTGCCGCCCGCTGGTGCCCCCCCCCACACACCCCCCCCCGCCCGCGCATCCGCTCTGTCCTCGCCCGGGGGCGAGGCTGGGAGGTTCCACGGTGGGGGGAGGGGGCGGGGACTGGCTGACCACAGCACAGAGGTGCGGGTCAGGGGGTGCTCCCTAGTGGGAGAGAGCACCGCCCCCCCGCCGGGTACCCTTGTACTAAATACAGCAGCCAGTGAGGCCCTGCCTCGCCACCCCAGTAGCCTCCCTGCTTCCGTCCCTGCCCCTTCAGTCTCTTCCCCCCTCAGCAGCCAAGGAAGACTTTTGAACCGTAAACCACATCATGTCTCTCCTCGATCTGATCAAATTAGCCCTAGAAAAAACCCAGCTGGGCAAAATACATGTCCTCTTCCTTCCCTCCTGACCTCACCTCTTATTCTTCCCCCTCCCACTCACTCCTCTCCTGCTGAGCCACGGGGCGGGGG